CTCCTCCCCCGGGGCCGCCTGCCACGCGGGAGCTCCTGCAGAGCGGCGGAGGCCCCTGTCCCGCGTCGCCCTGCCGCGCTGCCCCTCGCGCCGGGGGTGCCACTGCCGCCTTGGGGGTCTGGGCTCCTGCTTGGAGCCCTGCTGGCTCTTCGGGTAGTGATGGCTGCGCAGGTGCAGCAGTTCTGCTGCCGGCCTGCAGCACGGGCATGGTCTGCGTGTCCACACGGTGAGTCTGGGGGGCAGCACTGAGCAGAACTGTCAGGAAAAGCAAAGAAAACCAAGGCATGGAAGGAGGGCGTGAAGTCCGGAAGTCTGGCTCATGATTGTTTTGTTCATGGATAACTAAATGACTTTATACCTCAAGCTTAAAAAAAACCCTCTTGGTAGCTGTATAGATGAAAAATTGCTTTATTTAAAGATTTTGTTTGTTTCCTCCATGTTCAGGGTAGAGGCTTTCCGTGACGCAGCGTCTGCTATGGAGCAAGAGAAGGAAATCCTGCTGGAGATGATCCACAACATCCAGAACAGCCAGGACATGCGGCACATCAGCGAAGGTGGGAGCTGCTGCCCTACTCGCCTTGTGGGAGCAGCTCGGCCGCCTCGGCGGTTCCTGCCCTGGCACCCCCTCATCACCCAGTTTGTGAAGCCCAGGCCTAGTTCACTGTTTGGTTTATATTTATTATGCTAGTGCCTCTCTACCAAGAGAAGTTTTTCAGCTAATAGTAATAATAATTTCAATGGCTTAATACCTGGACGTTACAGAGTGTGCATAGTCTGCGGGAGCTAGTTCATTAATTCAGTTCCCATGATTATGTGACACTGGTTTAAATATATTCGCCAAACCCAAATCTTTTATAGGATGTGCCTTAAATTGCCAGTTTATTGGTTCTTTCAGAGCATATAAAACATAACAAGTTGGCATTTTGGAGAAAAAACACATGTGTTTTCACAAAATAGAAACACTTTTTTTTTGTATCCCCTTATTGAGACTGATACTCAGAAATCACTTCTTTCCTTACAGCCTGTTGGGGGTGCCATAAATCTCCTGTGCACCACAGAGGCTCCTCAACATGCTTGTGTTGTTAATGAATGATGTTTGCAGGCAGCACTGCCTGCTTTGCACAGCCATTGGATGAGCCATAGAAAGTAGGACATAGATGTAAAGGACCCCATTTCTGGCCTCTGGAAATTTTAGTCATTGTCAGTTACTTAAAAATGCACCAACCTCTTGTACCCTTTTTTTAAACTTTTGTAGTATTTCAGTTATCTTGATGTCAACAGCACTGCAGCGTGGTAGTTGGTAACCTAGATTTTTTTTCAAATTAGGTGAAAGGGAAGAGCTAAATCTGACGGCTAATCGTCTGATGGGCCGAACCCTCACAGTGGAGGTTTCTGTGGACACAATCCGCAATGCCCAGCATCAGGAATCCCTACTGCACGCCACAAAGATGATCGATGAAATCGTCAACAAGCTCCTCGATGACCTGGAAGATGCCAAGATCCGGCTGCTGTCACTGTACGGCGCATGCACGTCCGACGTGCCCGCGGGACCCATCGATCAGAAGTTCCAGTCAGTTGTCATTGGATGCGCTATTGAGGATCAGAAGAAAATCAAGAGGAGGCTAGAGACTCTGCTGAGAAACTTGGAAAATTCCGAGAAGTCCATCACGTTGCTAGAACACCAGAAATCAGCTACTCGACAATCTTGCAACAGCAAACAGGATTAGAAGTCCTCTCGGTTACCTTTGTGAAAGCACCCGGTGCCGAAGGCTGCACTCGCGCAGCGCCAGGGCGCGGAGGAGGTGCTCCGTGCGGCCGCACGCGCGCCACAGCCTCGCGAGGCGCCCGCAGCTGCTGCGCTTGGGCACTAGTGGCATTTTATTTTGCCAATGAGGATCTGGCTATCAGGATGTTTCCTGTAGAGGTGATACTGCTGCTGCAGCTTGGAATGTGCTTCTGCTGAGCTGTCGGAAACTGTCAGCCTTTCTTTTTGTTTTATTTAATGAAGCTTTGTCCTATATTAAGACTTCAACTACCACAACTTTTCCTGCGCTGTATACATAGTGTGTGAAACTTGTTTGGGGCAAAAGGACAAATCACTGCAATAAACCAGTTAATAAACTGTGCATTGTATTTTCCTAAATGAGACACTGTCCTACTTCTTGCTGACTATAACTTTAAGAGGTTGGCACAATTCGTAGAGTCCAGTATTTTCTAGGAGGAGTTACCTTTCAGTTAAAGGGGGGAGCTCGTTCCTGGGGCAGCTACTCAAGCAAGATGCTACGTTTTACTCCTGAAACCTCCCTGGTTTTCAGCTCAGAGTTTGCCAAGAGTTCCTAAGAATTGAGCAAGATGGATTTTGTAATTACAGTTGTAGAAATATCTAAAAACAAAACTTCTCGTGCCTGTACTTTAGGTGGAGACGAAGCTGCCAGCCGTTTAAGAGAGCGCCGGAGTCCACGGCCCTGGCAGTCGCGCAGAGCTCAGGGGAGCAGAGCAGCCCTGCTCAGACTGTTCCCTTCATGGCTGCTACTTTTTCCACCATTTACTAGTATAACTCAAGTGGGATTTTTGTTCTCAAGGACAAAAAAGGAAAGAGTCACAATCACAAGAGATGAGCCTAGATTAGCCTGCTTTTGGCCTAAATTACTAGTGTTTGCTTTTTTAAGTTCTTTCTGTTTGTCTTAAACTTTGTAAAATCTGTATCTATCATCTGACTTGCAAGTTCTTAATACCTTCTCCTAAGCTTTTCTAAGATACGAGATTGCCTTTCCACATCCATTAACTCTCACACTGGTTTGAGCAGTCAGTAATTTTACAGTATGTGCAACTCTTCTTTTTAAACAAAAAGTTCTACTCAAACAGGCCTCCCGTAGGCAGCTCCCAGGGGTTCCCCTGCCCTTTCAGAGCCGTTGTCTTCAACATCTGTTACTACTGCTGTAACATAAAGGGGCTAAACAGGGTTGACATCATGCAAGTAACAGGGATCAAAAAAAAAAACACATGGAAGGTTTTAAAATATATATTATATATATAAAAGATATGTCGTGAAAAAAAAAATATCAACATGCAGTCAATCAGACTCGGTGGGTGTAAGGCACAACTGAGAAAGTCGAGTATAGAAAAAGAACTACATTTACACGCCAAAGGGTTGGTTCTGGTAGCTTCTGAGGAAAGCAGCAGGATTATTTTCTATTTTCCAGTATAATCCAGTGATCCACAAGCATGGGACGGTCTCTCAGAGGTGACCGCATGGCAGGTGCTGCGGGGGTGGCGTGGAGAACAGCGACAGGTAACACTGGGCTAAGTTAATCCCTCCTGGGCCAGCAATGCTGCTTGCACGCAAACCCGGACACAGGAGAGGCAACAGGACACAGACTCAAACACTGTGAGTTCTGCTCTCCTCAAGCCCCTGGACTAGGCACCTGTTAATTTTCAGAAAAATCAATCAAGTATCTTCGATGTATCAGCGATATTCTAATGCCCTTTTCAATGCCTACAGCCATTCCTAGGGTTGCTAATCTCAGCCGGGGCACTCTGTGAGCTGCACTAAAGCACGGAAAAAGCAGAGGGCAGCCCCCAGGAGTGGAACAGGGCACCCGCGTTTGCCCTGGCACCCGGGGCAGGAGGAGCCCAGAGGCAGGAGCTCGGACGGGCCTTTCGGCTGGACAGAGCGAGGTGCCCCCGCTGGCGCCCCGGAGCGGCTCCAGCGCCCAGGGACAGAGGGAGCGGAACGGGGCACGCGCCCTTCCGAGCAGCCACAGGGGTAGAACCACTGCCCGCAATGGAGCGTGACTGCGAAAGGAGGGAGCTGTGTCAGAGCGGGCAGGAAGCAAATAGAAATGTCCATACACTGCTGTGAAACAACCGCTGTCACTTACAGAGAAAAGCAGAATTAACTCCTGGGCGTTTTTAGACAAACAGCATACACAGAATATTTTAAGCATTTATTTTTCCACTTGAGGATTAACTGTGAGTTACACTGATGTGTTTTTCTAAAAATATGTTACATTAACTTGAGTGCATGAAGATGATAAAAACACTTATATACATGATCTGTTTCAACCATTCAGATTCACATGGACTTGAAAGTAGAGTGAACAATTTATAACCTTTATTTTAGCAAAGAGAACAACATTTCTCCTGGTCCAGATAATTCTTTTCTTTAAACTTTTTTGACCAAGTTGAGTTGGTTCTGCTGAACATTTATCTCCGTAAGAGACAAGGGGAATGTCACAATACTCACTCCCCTAACCACGCATTACCCTAATAGTATTAGTACCCTGAGAATGAGGCTAATTTAGTGCTGCATAAACAGGACTCGACTGGTGTTGAGGTGACTGTCTCAGCTCTCATACAGAACACAATTTATTACTTAAAACTATTTGAAAACTCTCTTCTTTTTCCCTAACACTGTTTAGGCCTAAATGAATAATTCCTACTTTTTTATTTCCAGTTTTGATTATGTATTAGGTGCCATATTTAAGAAGGAAGTATTTTCATTTGTAAGCCTCAGATGCTAGTTGAGCACATAAGGAGATGGACACAAGCGATACTTTTGATGGAAATAAGGTGAGTAGTTTTGCTGAAATGCAGCTTATTGGCCCGTGCTTGCTCTCCGTTCGATGCAGGAGGAACGTGAAGGGACACTGCATGTCAGGTATGCGGTAGCCCAGTGGCAGAAAAGCACAACATACTTAAGGATAAAAAGAAATAAACAGGAAATCAGACTGACAGTGTGGTAATTTGGGCATTTTGACCAAAAAGGTCAGCTTTGCCTTAAGAAAGCTCTGAACCTGCTCCACACGCAGAGGTCCGGTGCGAGCCACCCCGCAGCCCCGAGGTGGGTAACTCGCTGCTGGACAGGGGAGCCTCCAGCCCCACGCGCGCCCC